ACAATACTCAAGTCCAAAAGCTGTCACGAGTTGCCTCAGTTTATGGCACCCCTGTAGCTGGATGTGTCTTCCTAATGATTGGCAAATTATTCTTAGACTGGTTTAGTGTGAGAGGCAGTTATTAGATACTTTCTAAATTATTTTTAAAAGAACCTAAATAGTGCTGAAAGTGGTAAGTGGGAGCTGTCAAGGAAACAACTTGCTAATGGAAGTGCAGCATAATTAACTGCCTTATTTAAATGACTTGCTTTTGGAAAGAGCTGATAAATAAGAGACAGCAGCAGCAGAGGGTCTTTGCAACTATACTGAGGGATCCAACGTTTAATAAGTGACCTTATAACAGAGAAATTAGCTTTCAAACAGAAACAAGGATAGTGGTTGTTTGAAGGATCATAAGGTCAGATTCACTACACCCTTTATTAAGCTTTGTCTCTTTTGTCTTTCTGTGCTTTTTGGCCAGCAGTGATGTGCTTTCAGTATCCCCTCTGACCCCTGGATATGCTGAACAAGGTCTGGATCACAGGCAGCATTTCAGAGAAGCAGTCTTGTTGCTAAAAATGCAAATGCCAAATCCTTTCCTATCATTTGTTGTCTCAAGAGCATGCAGACATGTCACAGTCTTCCTGGATCTCCATGCAGCCACACCATGGTGATCACTGGAATAACAATGAATGAGTATGAATCAGGAACATCTAATAGCCCTTATAAGTTTGCCTTTAGGGCCTGGTTTTCTAAGCTGTAAGCTGGAATGAGCCTGCCATGCTAGATGTAGCACTCTGCAAAAATAATTCTGCTGAACCAGAAGCTGAGCTCACAAGTGTGACAGTTCAGAATTTAGTTCTTGGTGGGATATTAGGGTCTATTAGTATTATTTAAATGGCAGCAGTAGCCAAATGCTGTACAGACATGGGAGGAGAGGCAGTCATTGCCCTGAGGAACACATAAACTACAAAGTAAGGAAAATAAAGACAGCGTGGAAGCAGATGCGTGACACTTAGCTATGGATTAAGTTTCATTGAAAATGCTTCAATTTGCTGGATGGAAAATAATCTGTCTGTTAGACCTGCTGTTAGCTGGTTAATTCCATGTAAGTGCCATGGCTAGGGTTATTAGGGAGTGAATTTTAACAGTGAGAAGACAGGAGCTATGGTATTCAGTTACACAGTCAGGAATCATGACTTAGGAAGTCTCTAGTCCAAATTCCTGCTGAAAGCAAGGCCAACACTGAGTGCAGACCAGGTTGCTCACAGCTTAATCCAGTCTTGTTTGTAGACTTACAAGGATGGAGATCTCACAATCTCTTTGGGCAAACTGTTACATTCTTAGTTGTCTCATCATGGACTTATTTTGCATATATCTAGTCAGAGTCTTCCCCTTTGGATTTTATGACCATTGCCTGTTACTCTTCCACCATGCTCATCAATGCAGTACCTTGCACTGTCAGGAACCATTAAAGGCACTGGAAGGTTGTTACTAGATCCCCCCAAAGTTTTCTCTTTTCCATGTTAAACAAGCCCAGTTCAATCAGCCTCTCCTCATCAGGCAGGTGCTTCAGACCTCAGCCATCCTGGCTGCCCTCTTCTGGAGTCACTCAAGTGCCAGCTAAAGAGGAATAATCACAGTCTGGTTCCTGGCTGTGTTCTGTTCTGCACCCCAGAGTGCTGTAAGCCTTCAGTACCTGCAGGGCACAGCACTATCTCAGGTACAAATTACTGTTCTCCTGGACCACTAGATCCTTTTCAGACAGACTCCCAACCAGTCAGTCACCAGACTGTACCAACACACAGGTTAGTCCATCCAGGTACAGTATTTTGCATTTATCATCACTGAATTTCTTTTCAGTCCATTCCACCAGTTTGTCTGGGTCCCTCTGAATAACACCTGTGCCTCCAAGTATATTGGTCAACCATCTGTTTTGGTCATCTGAGTCTTGATCAGTGGCCATTCTTTCTGCTTCTCAGGACATTGATAAATAATATTGAAGAGGACATCTGAAATTCAACATTAAACACTAGTTCTCAAGCCTGATAATCCAGTCATTTTTTCATTTTTCTAGTAGTCCAATTATCTAACAATACAACGTGGATAGAGAATTGCTCTGGGATACTGAAACAAAAGCCTTGCTAAAATGTAGGTGACATCTACTGATCTCTTCCCACAAGAAGGCAATCAATTTGATTAGTCTATGCTCAATTAAATAACATGTGCTAAATTACATGTCCTTTGTCTAGAAATATATTCTAAGAACATTCCATGATTTTCCCAGGGACCAAAGTGAGGGGCTAACTGATCAACCACCCTGTAGTTTCACAGGTAGTGTCACTTGTCCTTTCTGAAGATGGATGCCACATTTGCCTTTCTCTAGTCACCAGGGACCTCCTCTGATCTCCATCACCTTTCAAAGACGATAGAGTGGCCTCAAAATTACATCAGTCAGCTCTCTCAGCAACCTTCAGTACAGCCCATGAGCGACTGGGGGAGGAGGCTGGGTCAGGAAAAACATTCAGGGACATGGAGGAAAATACTGAGATATTCCTGGCAGAATGGGAGCTTCAGACAAAGATGATTAGAGAAGCCCTCCCTTCACAAACAGAAGCCACAAGGTACAGAAGATACTCCCTTACTTTCTAAATTCTCTCTGAGACAAGAGCCGAGATACAGCTAGATACAATCTTAGCCCCAGACTCAGTCAGTGGTTTATATCTAAAGAGTTACACAGGTGTATTTGAGCTTTTATACAACTTTGTCCTGCAGAATTAAGGACAGCAAACCAGATATATTTATATAAATAAAATTATTTATTTAAATTTATTGCAATAATGACTGGGGGGGGAAAAGCTTAATCAGAATTATTTACCACACAGTATGGATCGCTATTACTACTGATTTAGTGCACTGTTTTTGAAGAAATTCTATTAAACTAATTACGTTCAAGGTAGCAGAATAATTGTTAAGCAGAGATTGATGTTACTTTACCCACGCCAACAACTGGGAAAATCTCTTTTGTTCAGCCTCAAGGAATAACCTTGAGAAGTGTCCCCATTGAAGGGAAGGTATAGAAAGGTACCTTAGCAAGATATGCTAGAAATCTTTGCTGTGCAAAAGTGACACTGGCCTTTTATAGTATAAAGTGATTGACTTTAATATGCATTCAAAATGCACATTTTTTTAGATTATATGTTCTCAGGCTTACTCAGCAAAATATGCTTTCTGCTGAAAAATGTGTTGGCAGCTTTTTAGTTTCTTCTCTTCAACACTTCTGACCCTCACTTCCAAATCAGGACCTGCAAATCCTTGCTGCTCCCAGCCTCAGTCAGGGAGCCTCAGTCTTGCATGTCCTTGTGGTGGGGGTGAGAATTTGTTCAAGCTGGTCTCAGCATTCTTCAGCACTAAGAACAGCAGTGTTATCCTTGCTCAGTGTTATCACTGATCAGCAGCGTGTCCTTGCTCCAGTGAACAGCAAACTCTCCTTGCTCAGCCCCTCACTGGCAAACTTATAAGCCTGCTTAGGCTGAGAGCCTTCCTTCAGATGCCTGTGAGAGAAGTGAGGTAAGGTAAAATTGGGGCATGGATGGATATTTATTTTAGTCTTTGCTAGTGTGCCATTTTCATTTAATTGAGAATCTAATTTATTGTTGGGTTCTTATGTATTAAAGCTGCCCCTTAGATTTCAGTTTTATTCTCAAGTGTGAAAGAGCAAGGATCAATCTGAATTCCTGCTGGTGAGTGATTCTAGGTACTACATCTTGCCAAAGCAGGATCCCATTGCCACCTCAAAGTCTATGTGCATTCTGTCTGCTTTACTTCTATTACTAGGCCATCTCAGATGATTCAGATATTTACCCTTTTATCCTTTTTAATGCAGGATTTGTCTTTAATTCCACACACCCCCCACCCCCCAGTGAGTTGCATGTTTTCTTCTGTTCTGCTGGTCTGTGAATTCATTGTTTGCAGGCTGGCAAGGCACCAGTTTTGGGGTGACAGATGGAGCAGACTGCAAACCAGGCAGTTGCCTCCTAGCCTGAATGATATTTTAATAAGCACAGAGAGGTGACAGAAAGTGAAGCTTCTCACTGGAATGACTGGCAGTTTTGTTTCCAGCCTGAAAGCACTAATAGATAATTTTTGGCCTCCATCCAAAAAAAAAAAAATTCACAGAAAATAGAAGCAGAAAATCCTATTAACTCATAACTTTTTTAGGGGTCAAAGAAGTTTTTATGTCTGGTCTGTTACCCATTTAGGGAGTTGTTTCCCCATTTTTGGTATTTCAGTTCTCGCTCAGGAACTGCACACTTTAGGAGACTTTCCTTTTAATTACCATTTTGTTTTCCTTCTTTCTTTTTATTATTTCAGTAATTTTCTCCACTGTCTTCCTTCCCTAAACATTCTTTCTTCTTCATATTTCTTTATGCTTTTCGCAGATTCATGTTGGAACAATGGGATCTAACAACTTACTTGACTTCCAGCTTCCACATCCTGTGAAAGAGCTACTGCACTGCAAGGCAATGGCATCTGCATGGGAATCTCTAGAGCATATGTCCTCTTCTCCCTGCCCTTCAGCTGTGTCTCACTTGTATAATACAGGGTTTGTGTAGGGCTTTGTTTCATCCTTGGTCTAACAAATAAAAAAAGGCACAACAAAAGGGAGCTCTGGCAAATCCCCAGCAGGCTCTGAGATCCCACTGCAGTGTGAGCATCATGGTGTTTTGCAGACAAGCTGTAGGATAGTCAGGCTTTCAAAGGAGAAGATTCTTTTTCTTTCCAGGAGTACAGGTTTTAAAAGGTCCAGCTATCACTAGGAAAATACAAAAGTGGTGCTGGGATCTGAACTACAGTGTGATCCCATTCACTGCTCAGAGAACACACTGGAAATTTCTCAATATTTGGACATAGATCTTCATGTTTATTTAGCAGTATTCAGGTCTGAATTTCAACTGGTGTGTGAGCTGTAAATTAATGCTATTCCTGCTGAAATATGCTTCTTTTTTCTTCCAGATACAATGATGACACTGAACGTTCCAATCATCTTTGGCCTCCTTTGCTGCATGATTTTTCTTCCTGCAGATGGCTTCCCAGCAGACAGCAGTACTGAATTTCGCTCTGCTTTCTCTGTGGCCAGAACCAGCAGCATGGAAGGGAGCTCTGAGATGGTGATTACCTTTGACAAAGTGTATGTGAATATCGGCAATGATTTTGACCCCAAAACTGGATTGTTCCGCTGCCGGATCCCAGGAGCCTACTACTTCTCCTTCACTGTTGGGAAGTACCCAAAGAAAAACTTGTCTGTCATGCTGATGAGGAACAAGAATGAGGTGCAGGTAATTGTGTATGATGAACATCACCGCAAGGAACGGAAGGTGGCCAGCCAGAGTGCCATGCTGCAGCTTGACTACGGGGACACAGTTTGGCTGCGTTTACATGGAGATCCCAAGTACGCTCTCTACAGCAATGTGGGCCCCTATACAACTTTCAATGGCTACCTGATTTATCCAGACACTTCTGCCTTCTTCCAGAATGCTCTTAGCTCTCAGGAGCTCGGGCCACACCCTCACCCAATTCAGCAACTTCCCAGAGAGCAGAATGAAGCTTCACAGCGACACGTGTTGTCTGACCAGCCACACAGGGTACAAGACCCTCGCTCTGCGTTCTCTGTTGCCCGCACACAAAGTCTCCTGGGGACAGATGAGAAGCAAACCCAGCACGAGCCAATCACGTTCGATACAGAGTTCGTGAATATTGGAAAAGATTTCAATTCCTCCACTGGCATCTTCACATGTCGTATACCTGGTGCATACTATTTCTCCTTCACCATTGGCAAAATGCCCTTTAAGACTATGTCAGTGAAACTGATGAAGAACCACAATGAGGTGCAGGCCATGATCTATGATGACAACCACTCCAAGAGGAGGGAGATGCAGAGCCAGAGCATCATGCTGCCTCTGCAATACGGGGACACTGTTTGGCTCTACAGCCACCAGCACGATGGCTATGGTGCCTACAGCAACCACGGCAAGTACATCACCTTCACAGGCTTCCTCATCTATTCAGAGGCTCAGCCAAAGTGGCTTCCAGGTGCCAGCTCACCTCAAGGCTCAAACAATTAAATGCAGATGTGAAAGGAGCATAAGAAGAGCCAAGGTGCCACGAACTTGGGTATAGCTTCTCTGAATCTCATCCTCTACTTTGAGCATGCTGTCATGTGTCCAGTGCTTTCCTTACGCTGCACGCTTGTGCCCTGTCTGCAGGGCCACTGCTGTGTGTGCCATTCATCCGTAGAGAGCCCTTCCAGGTTGTAGCTGTGTGTCCCGTGTTGGTGTTTGATTTAACATAAAGCATGAGGTAGTTTGGGGGCAGGGGTGGGGCAGTGTAGTGAGATGCTGAGGATCAAAGAACTACTGCAGTCATGTTACTGCAGATCTCCAGCATCCAGAGAGCAAAGGGCGTGGTGACTTTCCTTGTTTATCCGGGGAGGGAATAAATGTAATGAAAATGAATGTAATAAAAATACAAAAGATGTGAATGTTCTCAGTTTGGAATTTATGCTACTTTGTGAGACTTGTGTGCTTGTCACTGGCTGAGGTACCAGCTCAAGTGAGAGAGAAGCATGGTAATTGTGTGAGCTGAGGATGCGTTACTGAGCCAGTCCGTCTGTGTACACTTTTTAATCATTTGTGTGTGTGAACGGTTGGTACCTCTTAAGATTTTATTGCAAGTTTCACAGTGGTTTGTGCTTTTCTTTATCTGATGTAGATGAAGTCAAGATGCTGTGATTGAGAATCTCAGCTTCCATTTAATATAAAGAATACATTTAGAAACAAACAAAAGAACAGGCTTCTTGTAGTGAAAGATAAGAGCTCAAATCTGTGAATGGACCATTCTCTGAAAGCCCAGAAGCAAGGTAAGTAAGAAGAACAAGAAATGTATTTTTACATCTCTGAGGATCCGGATCAGGAGCAGGCTCATAACACTGAGTGTGAGTGGTACCACGGCACACAGTGGCACTGCTGACTGCAGGGGTGTTTCCTTCCCCAGAAATGAGCCCCTTGAACACAAGGGTGCTGCTAACTCCCCGTGTGCTGCACTGATAGCCTCCTGCCGGCGGGGTCAGAGGAGCCACCAGATGATGTTTTCAGCTTCCATGTTCCAGCGGTTTTGTACATGCCGAGTTGCACCGAGAGTCTGTCCTGCGGAGGGGCTGCCGTGGCTGCAGAGGACGCTGCTGTGTTCCTACAGTCCAGCGAACAGACGGACGGGCTCCCGGCAGGATCCTGTGCTGGGAGCACAGGAGGCTTCATCGTAGCACCACTGGTGCTGTTTCAGTTGAGCTAAACCCTGGCTTGTATCCCAAAAATACATAAACCGCAAAGGGGCAACATGTTAAACGTATACAAAGCTCCATGGCATCACTTCAGTGTACTTTGTGATCCGTTCAACAGGCAGCGAGGCTCTAAAACTGCTCCTAACAAAATCCTGAGTTTAAAGCGGTATGTTGGCATCTGAGTCACAAGCCAACCCACTCAGCCTTTCTCCATATATTTATATGGCTCAGGCTGTACATTCTCCAGCAAGACAGGATTTTCATGCATTTGTGCCGTCTCAGCTCAGCTTTTTGATGATACTCTGCTCAAACTGGACTTGAATGCAGCCACTCCCTGCCTCTGTCACTCCATACATGTCCCAGACATTAAAGATTGGGAGCATATTTGGCAAAAGGGTGAGGGGTAAAGATGGGAAGTATGTTAAAAAACAGCATAAGAATAATAGAACATTAGGCGAGACAAGAAGTTTTACTTCAAATAAAATTCTGATTTTAATTCCTATATCCTTTGAGGTGAAAAAGAAAGAAACAAACAAAAAGGACCCCAAAACACAAACCAAAATGAAACAAACATACAAAACAAAAATCCAGCAACAAACAACCTGCTTTAAATCTGTCTCACGTCATAGCCCTAAACTGACCTCTGAAACCATTGTCTGTGGCATCTTCCTCCCAGGCTTCTTGTTCCTTCCTTACCATTTCTCCTCTCCATCTGTTGGGCTGCAATGGCTTGGAATAAGATTAACTAGGTCAGGAGCTAGCACTTCCCACTTTGAAGGTCACACTTGCCTCTTTTGTTGAACATGGAAAAATTATATTGATGAAAGAGAATTATGGATCCCATCGTCTAAGCACATGCAATGAATATTCAAAATTGATGTACCTATAGTGGCAGCAGGAAATCTGGTAGAAACAACAAGAACCAAAATCAAAACCCTCCTGAGGAGATAATTACATTTATTTAATTCCACACTGCAGTGTTTTTGACAGACAACTGTTAATTATGTCTTTTTATAAAATAATTATATTTCTGATTTTGAGGATAGAGACTATGTATTTATTATGTTTGGCTTGTAAAATGCCAAGGCTGTAAGGAAAAAAAAGCCTTTATAGAAGAGAGGCAAAATTTGCTGAAGAAATAACTAGGTCAGGATCCTTCAGAATTTAAATGAGTTTCAGGAAGTATATTCCAAAATGATAACGGAAACAAAGCTCTGTATATGTGTAAATATGATATGCAAATACTAGAAAGCTTCATGGAATACATACATTTTCAGGTTGCTTTTTAAAGAAAAATTAATACATGGGATGGGAAATTGCTGTTGACACATAAAATATGATGCTGCATAAGGAGAAACATGAAATTAAATATGTGACCTATATCATGAAACACAACAAAACCTGCTTAGCTGCTACTGGAGAGGAGAAAAGATCTTGTATTTGTCTGAAACCACAGGGAGACTATAAGGAGAGTGAACTGAATTATCTGAAATGAAGTCAGCTGTGACACCAGCATAATATCCTGGGAAAATACTTCCAAGCCATCTCTCCTAAGCATCAGTGATCAAGATAGATAAGACATCTAAATAGCACTGCCCCCTTCAGCACAGCCTTCTTAGCAAAAGCATTAGAAAAGGGAGAAATGCACTTTACAGTTTTGTCTTTTTTTTCATTTAAAAATAAAAGCTTGTGCATAAATCCTGAGAGGCTTGCCAGCACAGTGCAGAAAGCAGGACAAAAAGGTGTGGCATATTTACAAGAAGTCCTACACACTGCGGAAAGCACTGAAAATAACCAAGGAAGCAGCTGAAGCCAGGTGTGCCCTTTCCTATGGTGGGACGCCTCATTAGGTGTCTCTCTTGGTCCTGGCCAGGTTAGAGCGATAGAAATGCTTCAGGGATGCTAAATGTGAAGGCTTCTCCTTCCAAGGCCAGGAAGCCTGGAGGAGAGTGGTATTTGCAGGGCAGAGCCCCTTGCACAGGTCACGAAAGATTTCATCGACCAGCTGAGAGAAAAAGCCAATCCAGGGGGTTTTATCCAGGCCCTGCACGGAGCGAACCTGATAGGCGCTGTAAACGCTGGTGAAAAGGAGACGGTCGAACTCTGCCGGAGACAAGGGAGTGTCGGTCAGCGAATAGTATCTCAGATGCTGCTCAATCTCTGCCGGTGTTTTGGGAACTTCCTCCTCTAAAATCTGCAGGATCCGCCGTGCCGGGCGTAGGGAGGCCAGCTCTTCATCCCGCAGCCGGATCGTCCCGTTGGCCTGAATATCCAGCCTTCCCCAGAGCACCTGGAAGAGAGGAGCAGCGCTGTCACGGCCAGCCCAGCCCCGCTCCATGGCTCACTTTGCGCTGCAGAGCAAAGCCCTCCGCAGCGCTGCCCAGCCCCGGGCGGGCCCGGAGGCGGCCGCTCCCTCACGGCCGGCCCGTGTCCCCGCTCCATGCCCTTCTCCGCCAGCCCCGCAACCCGATTCCCCGTGGGACCCCTGCAGCTCTTCCTCCCGCCCTGCTGGCCCCTCCGTCCCTCCTGCAGCATCTCCCCGGTGCGGGGCAGTCGCCAATCCCGGCGGGGCAGTCGCCAATCCCGGCAGGATGGTCCCTTGTCCCACCGCCGACACCCGCGAGGTGCCGCGGCGCGGCGGGCCGCAGCCCGCAGTGGGAGCAGCACAAATGCCGTGAGGCATCCCCCGGGCTCCTGAAATCCGTCAGGGATGAGAACAAACAGAACGGGTGGGTTTTTACGTGCGGGCAGGTGGGATCATGGGCACTAAGAGTGCCTCGGCCCAGGGCCCCCAGTGCTCAGGAGACCTCTAACATGATGCCAGCGTCCTCTGGGCCGCGCCGGGCTGTGCTGGTGCCGCTGTGAGGATGTTCATCTGCAAGACATCAGACAGAGCTTGCTAGCACAAGACCTTCCCGCTCACTGCTTTTGCCATTTGATTGTCAATAACGTCTTCAACATTCCTGAGCTGCCACTCAGCTTGCCAAATACGACAGATGCTGACCACGGGATTTTGATAAGCAAAACAAGCTTTTTAAGAGAAGCAGCAGTGGTTGAGGCGAGGTTTTGGATATCACGGCCCTTAGTCCTGCCAACAGAGCTAGAGCTCTGTTTTACAGCAGCAAAGGCACTGCTTCGACAGGCAGCAAGGAAGACTCTTGTGCTGAGAATGGATGGGGTTTGAATGGATGGGGTTTGGTTGCTTGGCAGTTGTTGCTGGAGAAAGTAATGCTGTCCTTTGAAAGGAGGGTGCTGGCAGGCTCCTCAAGCTGCTGCTAGAAACATAAACTCACGCTTATCCTGGTTTTCTACTTCTTCCCTAAGCTTCTGCTGCTGGAGGAGTGTGAGGATAAAAGAAGCCTTGTCAGATCCATTATGGCTCGTTTGACGTCCAGCTAATTATGTGCTAGGACACATGACATCGTGTAATCTGGGAAAAATGGATATGAGGCCGGAGGAATGGCAGTTTTTGAATATCAAAGTCACATTAATCCTAAGAACTGTTCAGTTTTCATTCCCTAATACTTACAGGGCTTTAACTGTCTGCATTTATTTTATTTCTTTTTTCGTGCATGTGAAAAAGGAGACACAAGCAGTCTTGGTCCAGGACTGTGAGAGAGAGGCTGCATCCCCTCCCTCCTCTGTGTTATCAGTGTCCTAAGGTAGCCAAGACCCTCTTCTACTTCTTACAGACTCATCCTTCAGGTTCAGAAACACGAAACAGAAAAAGCTCATGTGAAATAGTAAACTCTCTGATACATTTATGGGATATTTTTTAATTTTTAAATGGATTAAGGCTTTTTTATATTAAAACAAAAGAGTGAGGATTTACATTGAATACTCTAGAGTTAAAGTCCGCAGCTGCATATAAAAAGTAGAAAAATTATTTATTACTATGCATGTGTGATGACTGCCACCAAAATACACTTCGAAATCTCCATTTTTGATCAGACCTTTTCAGAGAGATGTACGAGCTGCCTGGAGAAATGCACTGCCAGCCTGCAGGCTGCAGAGGTTTGTTTCTCTGCACAGCTGCAGGCAGCTGTGATCCAAGCCAGCTGTGGCTTTGGAATGTAAGCAGACATGTAGCTTCTCTTTCCTATTTCACCACAGATGTACCAGCAAGTCTTTTAGCTCAGGTGAAAGCATTATATCATCTGAAAATTTCTTTGCTGGTCTTGTCTCTAGTAACCGATCCTCTAGGTTCACAGATGCCTCTCCTGAGAGACGTCTGCAAAGTCAGTGTATTTGTTGAATAGGTGCCAAACTGCAGTTATTAGTAACTGCTTCATAAATATACACAGTGGTAGGTTTTTGAGTAGAGAAAAAATTAACAAAGCATAACAAATAATGTATTGAGATAATAACATAAATAGCCTCTAGGGAAGGGAAAATCCTTACTTATTTTATCAGTCAACAGGGTTGGGTGTGGTTTTGTTTCCCAAAAAGCATGTAGAAAATCTACAAATAATATTGCAAGAAACTATTTTTTCAGTGGAAACAAACAAACAAAAAATCCTCCCCTTGCCACCAAACACAGCAGCAGGTCTTCAACCTGCAATTAGGTACCAGTGCCCCCACCAGCAAACCCCCCCAGCTGGACTCCAGCTCTCTCCCGTGCCAGTGCAGCTGCCTGAGCCCTCGGGCCACGTTGGAAGGAGCGGCAAAGCATCACACAAATGGCATTGCACTGAGGTTTGCCAAGCCGAGGAGCCGTGTGCCTAACAGATGTTCCCCTTACCTGTCAGCCTCTGGGATGCAGCAAACACACACAGGAGCAGCCAGGAGCTGAGCTGTGCCTGGGCCATGGCAGCAGTGCCACCCGCTCCGTGCCCGAAGCCACAGTACTGCGCTGGGGCGTCTTCCCGTGCTGCTTCGGATCGCGGCAGCCTCCCTTGGAATGGATCCATCTTTCTGTGTTTCTGGTCACAGCCCTGGGAAGGGCTTGCAGTTCAACTTGCTGACCCCGAAGGATATTTTCCATCATATTTTGGAAACTTGGAAAACTTTGTTGTGATGTTTTTGGCAGAATTGTTTAAGCTTCCTTTTCAAAGACTGACTTTCCGCTGCAATGATGATAGGAAGTTGTTAGTTGTAAGAAATTCCACTACATATGTTTGCCTCTCAAGAAGGGAGGACCCCCTAGTCTCTTTCATCTCTGCACAGTGCCTCTGCAACATTTTCAGTTTTCATTTTTCCTGGGTTCAAAAACCTGAAAACAATCTTGGAATGTCAGAAAGAGATAAAGCTAGCAGACTGCAGATTCATAGAAGGGCAGTAGCAGCCAAAACATACAAGCAGGCAGAAGAAATGTCAGTGGTTCAGTTCTGTATCAGACTCCCTGGAGGGAGTACTCAGTACAGTCACCTAAAAAACGCCAAGTATCAAAGTGGCTCAGGCTTTAGCACCTCATCTTCCTCTCCTGTGAGTGGACTTCTGGGTTACAATGAGCACAGTCTGCCTTAGATGTTCTAAATTACATCGACAAAACATCATTTGCAGCAGGTATTTGTTCTCTACACATCTTTACACATTTGTTAGTGCCAAGTCCCCAGACAAACTGTTCTGTAATTCTACTCTGTATGGCACAGTATGTGATGCCAGGGTAATACAAATGTGCAGTAATATGTACAAATAAGGACTAATACCATCTCCCTCAGAGTAAAGAGAGGAAGAAGTCTGCCTAGAAAAGAGAGAAGGTAAAGCTGAAATGCGTCCCTTGCTCAGCAAGGTAAGGGACATCAGTCAGGACATACTGTCACCAGATAGTGTACTAAGGGCTAGGATGATGTCCTGGTTGGTAAGTTGTCTGTGTGCAAAGGACCAAATCTTCTGGAACTTTCAGAATATGTACCTGGCAATACCTGGACTCACACCAGCCAGGAGAAGCAGCACATAATGCAAGAGTCACAGAGGGGCCCACAATATCCAGAGCCACTCTTCCCTTCAGTTTGGATTCAAAGCAAGACCTGTGTTTCTGTCATAGCCTTAGGTATCTTCAAGTCACGCTGCACTGCTTTTGTTTTTCATTATTTTCTAATGTTTACTTTTCAGTTGCATCCCTTTCTTCTTTTATTAAACTGAATCACAAGCTACCCAAGAGGCAGACACTTATGGCCCATCTGTGCAGTGAGATTGATGTGCCTTCTGCTTTGTGCCAGAGTCCCTTTTATGTCACAGTGTACACATGATTTTATCTAGCAGCCACTATGGAAAAAAAACTGTTTTGTGGGCCATGAAACAGCCTTCCTTTAACTTGCAGCACATGACATGAAGAGAATTGCCCAATAGGATTTTGGCCAACATCTGTGAGAGCTGTACATGATTTTGTCAACGGGAGAATTTCCTAGGAACAGCTTGCAGCTAAGTGCCTAGATGAGGACAGCCACGTTGGTGGGAGGGAGAAGAGAGGAGGCTTGGGGGCTGTGCTCAGGTGACTGACACAGTGGTAGATGAGGGACAAGCATCAGTGTGGATGCTGCCTTGAGCTACGGAAATTTTGTAGAATTGCCTCACTATCCCACAAAGAAAGGCAATTTCAGGGTGATAAACATATTCCTCAGCTGTCTGTACAGCAGCAATACTTGCACGGAAACAAGGCTGAGTTTCTGACAGCTGCACAAAGTCCCTGCACGTACAACTGCAATGTTAGGCAGTGCACCTGCTCCTCCTGAAGGATTTTGTCCTTGCCAGGTACTCACAGCTGAGCACAGCCCTATCACTCTGCACTCCCCTGGCCATACCGTCTGTTGTTGGAGCAGTTTCAAAATGTCACAAGCCAGATTTATGCAGGGACACCTTGACTGGCTTCTTCTTTTTCTCCATGACCTCCTGAAGCAGGATCATGGAAATGAGAACAAGAGAAGAGGGGTCAAAAACTACAGCAACTGGTTGGATGCTGATTGAGGCACAAGGTGTGGCACCAGCAGAGCCTCTTTAGGAGGGAAGTTTCTTTGAAGTAGGACTTCGGGGAGATAGCATATTCACAAAAGGGAAATTCTGCTTATAGAGTTGAAGTTTCGATCATCTCATCCAGAGCTTGGGGAGATTACTCCCCAGCCTGGGGCTGTCTGGTAGATGCTCAGGGAAGGAAGAAGACTGAAGAAAGAGAGGAAGAAAGACATATGTGGCTCCCAGAAAAGGCCATGTTTGAGTTACTGGAGTGGAAGAAGTAAGAAAACCTTGAGGGAAGCAGGAGTGAAGCACTGACTGTAACCAGACAGGGCCTCTGTAATACTGGTATTTTCCAGGTGTGGTCCTGCCAGTCCTTACGAGGATGCTTTCCTTGTCTTTTTGTGTCAGTTTGTGAGAAGCATCTACTGCTTGAAGGAGTAATGATCTGTGTAAAAGTGACAGGGAGGGCCTTGTCCCACTGCACCTTCTGCACATGAAGTGGGTGGACACCCTGACACTGTCAATAGCCACATCCTCAGGGAGAAAAGTCTGCTTGCCTGGCTGTAGGGAGAAATGCCAGAGTTCTGGAAAACACCAGCAAAACCTACTCAGCTGGAGAAGCTCAACATGGTGACTGTGAGTCATTGCCTAAAGTCTATTGTCCCTTCAGTACCAGAAAATCTCTCTTCTGTATAATGTGTCTGTAAGTCAGCTACACCTGACTTACATCTCATCCCACATCCTCCTGCAGTTGAGGAATCCAACCCAGGCAAACAAACCCCACAGGAGCTGGCAGTACACAGCAGGCAGGGACAAAAGATTTGGAAGACAGCTTTGTACTTGGCCAAGTTGACCACAGCCTTGTCCAGCACGGAGCAAGTGTCCACAAGGAACCCAGAGTGAGCAGGCTCCATGAGCAAAATGGCCTTGGAGCTCAGGAGCAGTGGAGCAAGCAGAGTGCACAAGTATTCTGTGGGGCTGTGCAACCTCCTGTGCCCTGGGATAATGAGCCTAGGTGAGTAAATTGCAGCCTTCCTGATCTCCCAGCCTTCACGAATGAGAAGAGATTCAGGTCCACTTGCAACTATTCCACATATTAAAGACCTGCTGGAGCCAATGCCTGTTCCCACAGGGCTGGCTACTTTTCCAGTACACACATTCTTGAGTAAACCTTGCATATTGTCCAACTTGACAGGCATCCAGTCTGACATTTCTTGATGTTGATCAAATTCTCCCTCTGCACAAACATTAATTTTAAAAGGTAAATTTTCTAGTGTTCCTGCTACCATTAGTCTGACTTACTGTTCTGGGATATATATATATTTTATTATATATAGACCATAAGTCTTGCTGTAGTATCTCAAACAACCTGGGATGGAGAATATGGAGAGGAAATGTGATTTATAAAGAATTTTCACGGTGATAGAAGTGGCACCAGGAACTTTTCTGTCTTGCGCAATAGGCATCAGCATGCTATGAGGGCCACCGCAAAGAAAACAACCAGCTGTGGAACATCTTGCAGGAGGAACTAAAAGTTAATTTCCTATTTAATCTGCTCAATTGAAGACAGATCCAACATAAAGCTAAAAATTGCATAAAACGCCAAACTTCTGCTGATCTGTGTTCACTTCTCCTTCCCATGTAGAGCTGTGACTTTTAAGGTGAGTGGCAAATGCTATTTATTTTAACCAGAGAACCCTGTTGAGTCATATCCCAAACACTGCTGGCCACAGCAGCTGAAACAAAATTTTAAAAATGTGTTTAAAATAAAAAGTTAACCAGCCCATGCTTACACGGCTGGGGTAGGAAAAATATGAAACCCAATTCTTAGAATACAGTTCAGTATTTATTCTTGAAAAGAGATCACATTCTAGTCACAGCAAGTAGGTTTTTATTCTTAATTGAATTTACTATTGCTGTATCCCTTCCTCCATCCCATACCCTAACCTCCCTCAAATCCCTATTTTCGTTAGTGCTTTTACAATTTAAAAGCTTAAGTATCAATTCAGGGAATCTCCTACAAACCACTTGAGAATTATTTTATGAAATCTTATACAACAATTTTCAGATCTTAATGAAGTCAGCTTTCTGATGAAGAAGAGCATTATGCATTTTCTGGACCAAGGACAAGGGACATTATTAACTGATGACTGCTGTAATGTAATCCCATTCAAACAGGTGGTGGGTGGACTGGAACTACAGCATTCTTCCAGCTTTTTTGAAAAAAAAAAAAAGATTTTCCACAACAGCAAAGAAAGTGGTAATGCTATTGTATCATAGAGCTCAAAATAATTGGAATACTGACAAAAAGACACAGACTCTTGTCTATGAGACAAGGGAGGGGCGTATTTTTGGCTGCAGGAAAAAACCAGCACACTCTGAAGGTGCTGGAGAAAATAAAGACTGCTTGATTGTGAAGAAAAATCCAGACTGAGGGAACATCACATCAGAAGTTACCTGCAACTCCTCTTGGGAGAAAAGGCACTGACCTAATTCCCATGGAAACAATAGAGATTTCCATAATTGTTTTGGCCTGGACCCACACACATTTGTGTTGTGATAGGAACTGTATTAGAACCATTCACACAGGCTTTGCCTTTTTGCCATATTATTACCATCTTCCCAACTCATCCTGGAGCTAAGAAACTGCTATGCCATTGCTCAAACTCCACAGCTGCTTTGGTGCAGGCTCTATGGAGTGCTCAGTTTCTGCTTTTTACCTGCAGGGACTGCTGGCAGTAGTAGTGTTCAGGAAACACTAGGCCACAGGCAATGCCGGCACTCTGTTCAATTTGCAAACCAAAAAGACAAACCCCCCGTTTTTCAAAGCACCAGATAAATATCTACCAGTTGGATCATAAGGATTGTAAATTAGTATTCACGAGCCTTGTGCTTTTCATCTACTTTGAAAACATTATTCACGAGGTCACAACAAGCAAGTATCTCACATCAATTTTTATTATTATAAATACTATATTAGAACAGAAAGGATGGTGCTGCACATCCACTTCCTTCTGCTGCTATTTGGCATCTTCTTTCTTTGCTCCTGCTTCTATTTTCAGGGGTTCTGGAGCTGGACGATAGGCAGGAAATGCCTCCCACGGGCTATTCAGATCGAACTTCCGAAATTCCTGAGCCAGCTCCACAGGCTCTGCCACCACCCGTTTGACTTCGTCATCATACCGAACCTGGAACAGCACAAAGGACACAGGCCAGTCATTTTCACCCTGCTCCTGCAGCATGGTTGCTGTGCACAGTGACCCAGTAATGACACAGACCACCCTCTGTGCAGACAACTCCTTCTTACCCATGGAAAAACCACAGGCCCACAGGCCTCTGCCACAGCTTCAGTTCTCCTCATTACTAAACAAGAGCTCTCCAGATGCTACTGACATCTCTGGAGTATCCAAGAAAACCCTCCTCTTTGCTTTGGTACCATGCCCCTCAGGTGTCATGACTAAGCACTCAGAATTAGGAGCACCCACCCGATTGCATGAAGTTCACATGCAGTAACACATTTAAGTTGTCATTTGACAAAGGAATTTCTCCTGAGTCACTGAAATAAGATGGCCCATCCTGGGTCTGCAAGGCTGAGGACTATACTCATGAATCTTTATAATACTCTATTTGTGTGGTTTTAGTTGTTCTAATTTTTAGCATAACACTCAGAACAAGGGGAGAAAAAGAAGACAACCAGGATGGAATACAGGTGAGTACCAGACACTTCTGATTGGCTTGCTTTATCCTCACTGTTCCAGTCCAGATCTCTGAATCCCAGATGCTGCCTTATCCTTGCTTGCAGGATTTTGTTATTTCTACACTTCTTAAAAGAGCCTCTTTTTTGCAGAATTTCACTGTTTCCTTCTGAGACTCAACTCAGTCTTAACACTGCACCAAATACACCTGCTTCTGCAGGGCAGTCATTTGAAACTAGACAGATACCAAACACTCTCATTTCACCTGTGGTTGGTATACAGAGGCAAGCGATAAAAAAGCAAGAGTCAGTTTAATCAGCGTTTTATAATCTGGGCCTACAAAAACTCAACAAAGTGAAGTTCCAACTGAATCAAGAATGGTTGAGTCCTTTATCCTTCTAGACATCTCAGTTTTGCAGTGGAAACTTTAATCTTCCAGAAAACATGCTGAAAGCAGAAGCACCTTCTCTGACTGACAAGTATCTTTGGTACACAGCACATAATATTTGCTCAATTTCCCCAGCCTTAGGCTGCTTTATTATGGATGATATTTTGTGTGATAATTCAAACTTCTATGCAGATTTATACAACTCTTTTTGTAAACAACTTGTATACTCCTTTTGTATACAACTCCTCCTGCTTGTAAAGCAGTCACGTCGTTGTACTGGAACTCAGAAAAGAGCATTGGAGAGTCTTGGTAACTTTAGACATGACTGTATCTCCTACCTCCACATAACCAGAGAGTGGGAAGTCCTTCCGGAATGGATGGCCCTCAAACCCATAATCTGTGAGGATTCGCCTTAGATCAGGGTGGTTGGCAAAGAAAACACCATACATGTCCCAAACCTAAATGAAAGGGAGCCAAGTTAGTTGAACTGTATTTGAAAAAAACCAAAAACCTGCATGTGTTATGTCCATAAAATTTAGTTCCATGCCCGGCTTTGTACAGTGCCAGCAAACCTGATGCAGGAATTCATTCAAAAGCAAATCAAACACCGTTTTATCTCCTACTCTGAAAAGGCAGCCAGGGAAACACTTCTCTCTTCCTTCCCAAGGGCATTGGGGAATCCCTTTAATTGGGAAAATACAGCATCTGTCTGCAAAGACTCTCTTCCCAAGCACACCAGCACTCACCTCTCTTTCATACCAGTTTGCTGCCTTGTGCACAGACACTGCCGAGTCCACAGGTGTCAGCTCATCCGTGTATGTCTTCACACGGATCCGGCTGTTGAACCGCAGGGACAAGAGGTTGTACACAATCTGAAGCAGAGGAACAGGCAGCATTTATGGGTCCATTTGCAGTACACCACTGCCTAAGCAAAGCTACACAAGGACTATTCCAAATATTCCTCATGAGCAGGGTCACATTCAGCCCTTCAGAGCTGGCCACTAAGAGACACTAAGAGACTGAGGCCCCAATACCTTATCACTTTGGTCCTTAGAAGTGTGACAAAAGTTATGAGACTTAGACATCATGACTGATGACAAAGAAGAAAAGAGAGATACTAACTCTTAAAAGAGAGACTACTGGAGGGATGGAAACACTTGACAATGGTCTGTCTCAAAGAAAATGGCCATCAATCACTCTTGCAATTACTATCAGTGGGAGAAAGCTAAGAAAAAATACAGTAAATTTTCAGCAAGCAAGTTGGATACCAGGGAACATCTCCAACTTCTTTGGTGATGAAGTCTAGTACAAAGGCTGTTTATGAGGATTATTATAATGTCTGGAGAGGAAATACATATTACAAGTAGATTGAAAAAAAGATCTCAAAAATTTGTAAGGAATTTTAAAGCCTTGTTTGATCCTGCCTTGGTGACTGGAAAAGATGAATAAATCAGGGTCTATATTTCTGTTATTTCTATGTACTACCTTGATTTTTGAAAGAAAAATAGTGAATTTAAAAAATACTCCACTTCTCCAGCAAGTGGAGGCCTTTGACTTAAAGAATTCTATCTACAACTCTAAAAATTTTTTTCTCACTGCCAGAAACCAAAGAAAGTGGTCAGAGCTGCAACAGCACCCACAGCCATCAGCACTTGTGAAGCTCTCCAAGTACTGCACCTCAGAGCAGTTCCTACCTCAAAGCGGTACTGCCGAGAAGGGACATCAACAGCAGTCAGGTCAGCCAAGGATTTGAACTGGGCATTGGTGTGATCACGAAGGAAGGTCAGGACAGGAATGATCCCATCTGGATGGATCAGAAGTTCCAGCTCGTTGAAACAGGTCACCTGATGAAAACAGAACGGTGGGAAGGGCATGAGTACAAACACCAAGAGGACCGAACATGATGCTGATTTCAGCAGAACAGTCAAAGAGACACAGCAGACACAAAATGGCATCAGATCAAGGGGCTTAACAACAGCAGTACTATTCTCAGAATTCTGATAATTTTTCTTCCCCAGAGCAACTTCTCCGAACAGGGAGCAAAAAAGTGGTGTGTTCACTGGATCCTGTCCTGCCACAAGAACAATTGCTTGAACAGCACCTACCTGTACTTGCTGGATGTACTTGGGCAGAATCTCAGCCACGTACTCCCCAAAAGCACATAGCTGCTTGTGTTCTACTTCATTTTTTGGTCTGACAGTAGCTAAGGAGAAAAAGTTTCCAAGATTATGACAGGGAATACAGAAAGCTACAGAAAGAAAAAGTAGGAACTCCCTTTAATCAGTCTAGCTGTCTGTCACAACTACACTATAGCAACATGCTTGTTTTACACAGAAGGTGGAACTAGACACTTTGATAATGAAGTAAATTTGTTTCAGTGCTAAAATTTTGTCGACTCTAAAGAGCAGCACGAATTGTCCAACAAGACGACGGAGAAGTAAATAGCCAGATAAAAAGGAGTGCAGCACAGATATCACAACAATGTGAACTTAGGAATCGCTTATGTCATTCATCCTGGGTCTAGAAAGGGCCTTGTTTTCTGGGTTTGCTGGATGTGCCAACATCTAGGCAAGCCCCTCGTAATCAAAACACTCTAGGAACGCACGTTGTTGGGGTGTGTTTTTCCGCTGTTACAACTAAAAGCCTTTAATAGTCCAGGTGATGATGGGCTCTGAAGCTGTTGCCCAGGCACAGCTTTGCACAAAAAAAGCAGGTTTGGCCCTCCATCTGAGAAAGGATGCACACAGGAACCCAGAGCAAGCACGGGAACCCATGGCAAGCACGGTTACCAACACAGACACTTTTCGGCCCAACGGGGGTTTTCGGGTGACCGGAACACCCCTTTCCCTCGGCTCGCTACAGCGGTTGCAGGGCCCAGGACCGTCCGTGGGGCGGTTCGGTGCCCTTCCGCCGGCTGGCAGCGGCACAACCGCACGCCTCGGGTCCCCTCCGCCCCCCTGCCCCAAACCGGCCGCGCACTTACGGCGAGTGTCCGCGGCGGAGCTCCCCGCCAGCCGGGCCCGTGCCGCCGCCGGTGCCGCGCCAGCTGCGGAGAGAAACGGACACGTCTCACCGACCACCGCCAACCGCCCGGCCCGGCCCGGCACAGCCCCGGTACAGCCCCGGCACAGCCCCCGAGCCCCCGCGGCCTCACCTCGCAGCGCGGCCCGCGCCAGGCCCCGCGCCGCCGCCGCCCACATCCCGCCGGGACACGGACGGGCAAGGGCACGGGGCGGAAGCGGAAAGCGCCGCCGCCGCCGCGCTTCCCCCGGGGGCGGAAGCGCGCGAAGAGCTTCCCGGGGACGGCTCCGGGTCGGTGGGCGGAATCGGCGAGTGCCCGGCGGCGCCTGGCGCAGGGTGAGGGCCGGGAGCAGCCGCTGGGGCAGCCCGGGGCGGCGGCATGAAGGGAGGCGCCGCAGGTGGGTGCCGCGGGGAGCGGCCGGGGGCAGCGGCGAGCGCCGGGAGGTGTGGGCGCGCAGGGAGGGCGGCGGACCCCGGCAGCCCCGGGCTGAGCCTGGCACGGCGTCAGCGCGGCCCGCTGGGAATCTGCGTTTCTCCGGGGATCAGGCTCCCTCCCTGCCCCGGACCGGGGGTCGCTGTCAGTTGTGCTCAGGTGTTCCGCGGTCCCGGGCTCCGCCGTGGCGTCCGCGACCCTGTGAGGAGCAAGGAAAGAAGGAAGCTGCAGTACAAGCCCGATGAGAAGCGGCTGAGGGAACTGTGTTAGTTTAGCCTGGAGAAAAGAAGGCTCAGAGATGACCTTATCACCCTCTCCAACTGCCTGAAAGGAGGGTGTAGCCAGGTGGGGTTTGGCCTCTTCTCCCAGGCAACCAGGGACAGGGAGAGAGAACACGGGTTTAAGCTGCAGCAGGCGAGGTTTAGGCTGGACATTAGGAAGAACTTCTTCACAGGAAGGATGATTAGGGACTGGAATGGATTGCCTAGGGAGGTGGTGGTGTTGCTGTCCCTGGAGGTGTTTCAGGAAAGACTGGATGTGGCACTCGGTGCCATGGTCTAGTTGACGTGGTGGTGTTCGGCCACAGGTTAGCCTCGATGGTCTCAGAGAACTTTCCAACTGAAAGTGGTTCTGCGATTCTGTGAAGGAGATGTACTAGGTATTGGTTAAACCACTGTCACTGATAGCTTGGCCTATGGAGTACGTGGAGCATACTATTTGGCTTTATGGGAAGTTACCTGTCCTACATGCCTCTTTCTTTATAGCAGAGACACCACGGGTGCAGAGGGGAGCTTTGTCTGGGTGGAAGATGTGAGATTTACGTAGTCTTTTGCTGCTTCTTGGCGTTTCTTTTGTGACTTGGCATCAGTCTTCTGGGAGTTGTGCAGGGCAGCGTGGGCAGCTGGTTCTGCCGTGCCAAGAGGGCAGAGTAGTTCATCTGTCCTTATCCTGGTGCTCTGTGTGGTCTCTTCTGCATTCTGGGCTGAAGCTCCTAAGCACCTTGACTGTAAAGATAAAGAGCTTTAACCAAAGTGGAAGCCAATTTACAGGATAGGCTCATACTTCGTAAAGCTGGAAAAATAGTACTGACAAGTTCTATGCTGACTGCAGTTCCTCTTACAGACTAATGGATAGATACTTTTCAGACAGACCAGAACTATGTAAATTTGAGATAAGAGTATAATTAAGGCAGGCTATCACCAGAGATGATACGGGCTTGTCCAGTCAATTAAGGATGTAGACACTACTTCCCATGAACAGAATTTGAGCAAAGAATTTTGGAGCCCTCCTGATCAAGCAGAATAATCAAAAGAAAATGCGTGTTTGACAAGATAAACCATGGAAGAGTAACTATGAATCTGCTGGATAAAATAATCACATCTTTGTGAAACGTACTTGAAATAATGTTCATTATTAATGGAAGAAATTTCTGATCAGACATCATGGATGGTAGTTCAGTTATAAAAATGAGTCTAAAGTGACTACAGGTAGGCAACTGTTCCTAATGCTGTCAAGAGCCATGGTAAAAAAGAGCTCCTTGCTGTAGTAGTTCTTCTGTGTTTCAGAAGCTTTTCTGACCCACAAACTACCTGGAGATCTGCAAACATCCGTGGTGTTTTGTTTTAAATTTTGTTCCCTTTCCACTTGAGAAGCAGTGACTAACAACATCTAACGTTGTTTTGCATGCTGAAGTTGACTGGCACATTACAAACAGCATAACCATCAGTTATCTCACTTGGTTAGCTTGAAGGACTGGTGGTTATGTCTGGCAGACATCTCATGCATCTTTTTGGTAAAAGCAAGTCCACCTTGATACAGATTCATCATTGGGTTTGGACAGTAATTAATACCTCCTGATGATATGAACTGCTGCCTGTGCTTTTTTTTTAGTGTGATACTGTAATCCTTTTCACATCTAGTCCAGCTATGCTGCTGCTGCTTTTTCTGGCTTTGCAAGTTTCCTAGGGCAGTTGCTGGACTTTCCACTTGAATAACTTGCTGCGTTTCTTTGTGTCAGTGAAATGAGTGGTGAAAAGATATGCGTGTCTCCCAGGCCTGATGGAATGTGATGTTCACTGTACTGGAAGTTTGATATATATTATAATTTTAATTATGCCAGCTTCTCATTTGCTGTTTGAGATTCTGAAGCTCAAGCACAAATCTCTGGCTGTTTATGTTCGGTCTAAAATATGCTGGACTCATACCAATATATTTGATTTTTCCCTGTACCCTGAAGTACTGCATAATCTTGTTAGTGGTGAGAGAAAGCTGTATAATTATTGTGATTTTACAGATTGCTGGAGGTCTGATTTGTGCAGCACCATGGACTCGTCAGAAGAGACTGGAGGCTCCTCTGCAGAAGAAAACTACTTTGTTAACTACACCTTCACTGACCGCTCCCACTCAGGCCGTGTGGCCCAGGGTATTATGAAATTATGCTTGGAGGATGAGCTCTTTGCTGATGTTACAATATCAGTGGAAGGCAAAGAATTCCAGCTGCACCGTTTGGTCCTCTCAGCTCAGAGCTGCTTTTTTCGTTCTATGTTCACTTCCAACCTAAAGGAGGCCCACAACCGGGTGATTGAGCTGCAGGATGTTAGTGAGAGTGTCTTTCAGCTCCTTGTGGACTATATTTACCATGGAACTGTAAAGCTGAGGGCAGAGGAGTTACAGGAAACCTATGAAGTGGCAGACATGTACCAGCTGACTGCCCTTTTTGAAGAGTGCTCCCGTTTTCTGGCCCGTACAGTGCAGGTTAGAAACTGTCTGCAGGTCATGTGGTTGGCAGATCAACACAGTGACATGGAGCTCTACACAGCTGCCAAACATTGTGCAAAGTCACATTTGTCTCAGCTGCAGGAGACAGAGGAGTTCCTACACCTGCCTCTCCGCCTGCTGACAGACATCCTTACAGGTAAGGAGTTCTGGAAACTACCTAGGGTGTGGATGTAGAAAGAGAGTTTCAGAGTCTGGTCAAGTAGTCAGTGAAATAGATGGAAAGATACCAACTTTCATAATCACTGTCTATTCAGAGACTTAGCTAAGCAAGGCAGAGCAAAACATTCTGGACACCTTTATCAGAAAAAGCCCCAAACTATTAATTGTTACTGGACATGAAACCTCGAAGCTGCAGAAAAGGGACACACAGGATGCCAGAAATGCACAGCAGTTCCTGAGTCAACAGGTTAGAAGTGTAACACATTTTTTAAACACAACTTCCTACAATTTGCTGTAATTTTGTTTGCATTAAAAGTAAAATAAAGAAGCCTTACCAGAAATACACATCCTATCAAAGGCTTTTATATTCCCTTAGCTCATAATGATTAAACATAGTAATACAATAACTCAACATCTGTAAGAAGGCTTGAGCACATATTTTAGACTATTTTAGTGTTCTTTACAATTATATGTAATTGTTAGAATTACTTAAGCACTCAACTGACTGAAATAGAGGCGTTGTAACATCTTGAGTAATACAGAAATTGCCCTTCTTGTAAAGGTAATAGCCTTCCACAGTAATGGATGCCATGACTCAGAGTTGTAAAGGACATGTCAACACATTAACAACTTAGTCCAGTTTTCACCACTCTTTAAAGCTCTGCTGCCCTACTAGGTACATTCAGTACTTGTTACCTCTCCAGGATGCTGCAGTCACAAATCCATTCTTCTGCAGTTATGTATCATTGCTAGAGGAAGCAAGAATGTAGAAGCAGCTCATACATCCAAATGTGCCTCTTTCATGCTTTTAATTATTCTTTGTAACTGAGTAAGTAACTAGACTTTGTGTGTCATATGTTTTATATGCGGTTGCAAAAATAAACCTATCATGACTGGCTTCTTTGGAACACTGGCAAATCTATCCATAAGACCTAAACTAGCCTTTAGAGTTGATGCTATGCATTTGAGAGTCTTCACAGATATTGCATTAAATTATCTCTATTGCATCTAAAGAAATTTACAGGCAAGAACCTATTGAGTATATGTACTGATAGCTCAAAAACCATAAAAAACTTAGAGTAATTTTGATAACTGTCTAGCTAAAGCTTTTTAAGTAAGTTGCAAGTTCATTTAAAAAACTCTTTAAAATCATGAAATAAAACTGTAGAGGTTACCTTTAATTTCCTAGGAATTCCACATAAAAACCAGTTTTAGGACTATGGACTTTAGCGCTTGTGGTCCTAAATTAAAACATTTGCTCAGTATAACTTTTTTCCATGCATCGTTTATTTTCATATGTAGAATCACATTACTCTGCATTTATGCCACAACTTAGCTCATAAAATGAATTAAAATCTGAAATACTTCCCTACCGCTGGTAGGCAAAATCCTTTCATTTTGCCTTTCCCTCATCTTCGTTCAGTTAATTGAGAATTAAATAGAGGAAACTTTTAGTGACGAGGATTAAAATTATTTTCATGAAATAGTAATTTATTAAGTTTATCTTCTGTTGCACTCTAGGACCAATTTCAAAACCTTTTTTTTCCATTTAAGCACTACATGTGATGGTTAGCTTATGGGAATTCTTTTTAAACTGAGTTGAAAAACCTGCTTTGGTGCCACACTTATTCTGCTCCCTTCCACTATAGAGAAAAGCTTTGGAATTTGTCTGGTGCCTTCAGCATAATTGAATTCAGAGTTTGTCATGAGAGCAGACTACAAAATCAGAGAGTCTTCGTAGGGAAGCTTCTCAATGAGCACATGCATTATTGCTGGCTTTCAAACTGGAAGGAAATGCCTATAATCTTTTAGGTAATGTACTGATGATAATGATGCAAGACTTTGTGGCTAAACCAAAACTTGCAGTTATGTCTGGAAA